TTACGGAGAGCACAAGATTGGTTATTATGCTCATTAAAGATACACATTTAAAAACAGGGGCGTAGCCAGGATTCGGAGGGGGGAGGGGTGGTGTAATATATTGGGGAGAAATTCCCCCCCCCCCCTCAACGAAATGAAAATAAAATTTGAAAACAAAATGACAAGTTTTATTTTATGTTAATTCAAGGAATATGTGAACTTCCTTGAACATGAAGAATGTGTATAGCATTGTGTGGTTCCAAATCTGTACATGAAGCCATTGATGATAAATAATTATGTAACTATAAATTGGTAATAATACAGGTTTTGTATTTTGTTCAAAAATATAAATATGAAATCTCCCCCCCCCCCCCCCCCCCAGAGTCCATTCCTAGCTACGCCCTTGTTTGAATAATATGCCAATCATTTAAGGAGTGGCATAAATGTCCGTCGTTCATACATGTGAATACAGTACCTTGTTTTCCATACATTAGCAGTGCCGTTACTCTTATCATTTTCCATACATTTATAGTACTCGTACGTTAAAACCTAAACCAATGCAGTCTTCAGGGGGGAAAAAAGTAATCGTCGCACCTTTTGGATGCACCACAAAGCACCTACATATAAAATTTGGTTCCATTTGTACCCGTGTCCCCTGCGAGTTGTTTTGCCTATCATTTATAGTTTTTATTAGCACTTCAGATAACGTGTGGGTATGAACGGATGCGTTCTTTCTTTCCTTCTGCTATAAAAAATTGTATGCCTTCTGCTGTGCCCACTAGTATAACAGAAAGTAGCAAAAATAGGGTAGCGTGTAAGGCCGTCTTAAACGACTCACGCATCTCGCAGAATTATGCACCAGAAACTTCTTAAATCCTTTTTAAATATCGGAAGAAAAACTGTTTTAAAAATATGATACACTGCATACTGCTAGTATTATACTAACATATTACAATTAACATTGTTAAGTGGTAGGGGAATGCTAGTAAAGAGGAGAAAATATCCACGATAAACGAATCGAATCTACACTTGTTGTATGAATTAACACTCCTTGTTATGAAGATGATCGTACATGTTATACAAAATATTTCGTTAGTATAGTATAATCGTTCAAACAAAATGAGTTGTCGTTAGCGAAAAAAGTATTTATTCATTAAACAAAACATGGGGCGCACAGAACATACTACTTTAGGAAAAGTAAATTATAATTATGTAAATATGCCACAAAGTTAACACACAAGAATGCCCTATTGTCACAAATAATTCCAATTTATACATGGTGTTGGTAAATTGTTGTCATCCATTTGTAGTCTAAGAGACGACAAACATTTCAGAACACATGAAAAACTTTTGACACAGTCAAGATATTTAATAATATTTATGTTATTCTCTGTAACAATTGTACACTATGAACAGAGGAATTTATTGATTCGACTGCGTATATACACACCTGCATACCGTAATGCAGCGTAAGCTGCGACGTCAAAAGCTGCGACGTCTGAAGTAAAGCTGGATTTACCATAGAAATATTTAAGCATTATATTATGCATTAAGATGTGTGCAGAAGAAACAATTTACGACCAATCAGTACAGAGCAGTCATTATTTAGAGCAATGTAAGTATAAAACAATATGACAAAGGCGTGTATGTGGACATGTTAGCGATTATATTTGTTCACAAATAATAAGCTTCTCTAATAGCAAATGTCAGCTTTGAAGTATGATCTGCTTCAATAGGGTTTATTTTTACGAGGTGTTGTTAGGAATAAAAATAAACATGACAGGCTTCTTGCCTGTTTTAAATTCACTGGAATTAAGAATGGAAACATTAATGGAAAACTGCAAATACAGAAGACGTGTTTTCGTATGACAGATAAGCGCCTACTGCATAATTCTAAATGCATTAGTTCTTGCACTGTAAACGTAGACCGTGTCCGAAATGGTAGATTGTGTTGATAAAATGATCATGTGACCCGATATTTTATACAAACATTGTGACGTATTTGGTAAATTGATATTTCGTAACTTGTATATAGTGGATATTAGCAAAAATACAAAATGACAAAATCAGCGCCATGTTGGTTTTGACATTCGAAACACATACGCGAATGCGTACTTAATTTTTTTTTTTTTTTTTTTTTCTTCCCCCCAACAAATGACTGTTCATAAAATACACTAGACATGTTTTAAAAAGCAAGTAAGGGTTGTGCTTTGTATATATATTTCGCAACATATGTTTTATTTTAATTAGTTATTGGATATTATATTATTGTCTTGTTTATAAACATATTTCAGCATTCCAGTAATGATAGTAGAAATATTACGTCAATTTTAAGCATTTAATTTATATAAAGCATTTTTTCACTGTTAATGTAAGAATGTGTTGCCGCGAGTGCTAAACAAGTGACTGTCGACAACGTCTGGATTGAAACCTTCGAAATGACAAATTACAAAATAACGAATTTGTCCTTACGGACACTGCCTTAGCTTGACTATTAGTGATTGGCACCGAGTCACAGCATTTCACCGATGTTTAGGGCAGAAATAGTTATATTTTGCACTGTACGTAGTCTGAAGTAGAATATTGCGACTCTCTTTGTTATGTCTAGTTCTCATGCGTTCGTTAGTGTTAACATTACTGATAAACACTTCTGTGTCAACGTTTTTCGCATTGTTATCAGTCTGAGGTTTCAGTGTACAATATACAATGGTGTGCTGTGTTACACTCGTGTAAATATAAACACACACAGCTGCCAACTTTTCAGACAGTATCCACTACTGTACATCATTATTGTAAATGTGGATCTTACAGAGACGACAGTTGTATTGTCGCTTTAAAACAAACATCTGTTAGAGTTGAGCCTTAAACTTTTCCAATAATGTCCTTTTCCCGCAGTGTGCAAAAGGGTTTCTTCTTAATGAGATGCACGCTCATACAACGTTCGCATTCGTCTACGTACGTAAATGTTTTACATATTTTGGGAAATGACATACGCACGTATACGAGGGAACGAATGTGTGTACGTCTCGCGTCCTTACAGCCTGTAAGCTACTATTTTGAAAATCGATTTATATGCAGTTCGTAATTGTTATTCCTAATTTTTCTTTTTATAAAGGGTGGAATGGGGGCATTAACTTTTGAGAAGCGCCACTGAGCAAAATTCTTAACAATGTATACTCTTTAACCTGTAATGATCCAAAAGAGCCGGGATAAACATAACCAGTTTTCGTCGTGATTTGTTATAAACCGGGCGTGACATTGAATTTATAGTTAATATTCAGAGTAGTGAGAACACTGCCAATGTTTTCACAAGGAAAGGCATGCATGAGTGACAAATTTATATCAATATCCGACATTTAATTTTTATTAATACCACTATTTGTGTTAAAAGGAAATTTACCTCTAGTTGTTACGAGTTTAAATGAAACATTATCGATAACTGCGTTTACTGACTCAAATATATATCTTCTTCATTCCTTTCTTCTAAAAAGTCTATGATTTCCAGCTACAGCTCTAATGAATTGATAATTTATTCAAAAGCTATGCGCCTAGGTTCCAGCACATGTTCAGTATGTGTTTTCCATCAAAACGCTTGTTCAGAATCTTATCAGCTAACTAGTTGCTGTAAGGGTTGCAAATAAGTATGTCTATCGGAATGTATTACGTATTGAGCAGAGTCAACGCCCTCTGGACTCCAGGCCTGCTTTCAAGAATGTGACGTCATCAGGAGTCGTCCTTTCTCCTAATGCTCTGTGTGTTCAGTACAAAATGTTGTGGTCACTTCCTGCTGTATTTTATATTTGGATTTCTATTATTAACTTCATAACTAGCTTCTACTGAAATACTTATGCACTTTGTGTTAAATTTAAATAGCTGTAACGATTAGAATTGGCAATCAGTAGGTTCCACGCAGCCGTAACTGTCGCCTTTCTTCATTTTTTGGAAAATCAGATACACGAACTCGCGGACCGTTCTCATAATTCTCATTGCAATCGGTAACACAGCAACGATGCGGCATGTTGCCGATGGAAATAGGTAAGACACCCGCACATAACTGGAACGTTACTGCAGACTCGGAAGTCAGCCCAAGAACTGGCAGCTTTTCACGCCAGAGAAGAGGGAGGAAACACGTGCAGGCATCTGGGCTCCGGCAGGGAGCGGCTAGGACCAGTCTCGCTGACGTCACACGCCACCCTATATTTTGAGAGCAGGCCTGAAGTCCAGAGGGTGTTGACAGAGTGGAGTAAGCTTATATGCGTAAGTGCGTTCCTAGGTTCAGACACAGCTGCGATGACACTCGAGTCGGCATATTGAGCGTACTGATCATTTTTGCGAACAGTCACCTATGTAGTAGCTCACAACCCCAAACTGTAAACATAGTGTTCAATTGTAGACCGTCGTGCCTCTAATATATATTTCTCCATTACTGAACAATTATTTCCTGTCAATTTCCTTTCACATAAGAACGGAACGAGAAGTTTACTATGATGTATGGCATCATTCATGATTAATATGACGTTTGTAATTGTAAGTGCTAACATTACTTTTCTTTTATTATGAACACCTAAAGTATAGCAAAATAATATATTATAATCAAAAACAATGACCGTTATATATTTATGATAATTTATTTTCGCAGAGGTAAATAAAACCAAACAGTAGCTGATATCGCTGCATATTTCCGCAAACATATAATTCTACGACAGAAACGAAACACATGCCATGGTTGTCAGTAGTAAATCATGAGTTGGGTATTCACAGCTGCAACGAATGCTGGTTACTGGCGTGTGAGAAGCTCGCCTATGGCAGACATTGAACGAACCACGTGGGTGTGCCGAGGCCAGGGTTATAACATACTTTCACCGGCCGTGGGATTGGCAACACCGCGCGGATGACGTCGTCGAGCACACTAGCGCTCCTTTGAATCATTCGCGGAACTAACAGATAAAACTGGTCAGACTTTTTCCTATCCCGTGGCCACTCTAGTGTATATCTTTACTCAATGGTGTAGCTCAATGGGTTCCTCGGTAGTATAGTGACTAGTATCCCCGCCTGTCGCGCGGGAGACCGGGATTCGATTCCACGGCGGGAAGTGTAACGCTGTAGCCCTGCCCTCATACCTCAGGGGTAGGGTGGCCGACTCGTAGTTGGAGGGTCGCGAGTTCGCATCCCGGTACCTCCGACGCGGCAAATTGTCAGTTCGCTTGTCGCACTGGGAATATGTCAGGAAGTCGGTCTCACTATAGCTACGTCATATGTCACAACAACGTCAAGTGAAGGAAAAGGAAGAAAAAATGGGCTGGTGCGTGAGTCTGAGCCAAATAGTTTTAGGCTTTAGAATTAAAGTCTCCGCTTTGTAACGAAATGTCTTATGTGATTCATTATTGCTGTTTATAACGTATGTTATTGTTAAAAAAAAAAAGTTTATTTCCAGAATCCCTCTGTCTAAAAGCAATAATACTTAAATAACATCATAGTGCAATCGACTAGTTGTGGTTGTTGGCTAATCGAATCGATTAGTTTCTGAAGTAGAAAATCTGATCTGTGTAGCGTGAGTAATGTCAACAGGCACACATAAAAGCCTTAAGTTTAATGTTGTGATAGTTTTGCCTTCTTTTGGCCTTCTAACCGTAAAATCATGTTTAATTACGGAAAGCACAAGATTTATTATTATACTCATTAATACATATGTGTAAATACAGGAGCGCTGCCGAGAAGGGGGAAAAAGGGGGGGGGAGGATCGGGACATATTCACCCCTCACCGAAATGTAAATAAAATATTCGAAACTAAAATTTGAAAACAAAATGACAATCTAGATTAAGTGTTTGATGAGAATACACACTGTCGGTACAGAATCCGACACAAAACCTGACGAATGTATCTTTGTAATGCGCTAATTGTCCCAGCGAACATCCTTCATGTGCAACCAAATCCAGGTTGTGCGAAATTTTATATGTGTTAGTGTGTGAGTGAGTTCCGCCATGCCAGCTGATCTTCATTGACCCCCGCATTTCGAACTGGTCTTACGGTACAGCAGGCTAGGATCCGGCCTCGTACTTAATCCATGGGCATTTTTTATCGTGTATCTTGAATTCCCACTGTGCCCTACAGTTATTGTATGGGGAGTGCCCCTTAGGTCAGGTAACACCCACCGAGTGATGGCCTTCCCCAGACGGGGCCACAGGCGTCCGTTGAGAATGAACTGGAATAAATCCTCAATATTCGGCAACAGAGGAATGCAAGGGCGAGAAAAATGAAGGTTCCCCGAGAAAGCTCGCTGGCGACATCTGCAACTTGAGGAAAACCAGGTTGATCGCGTAGGGGAACGACCGCGGGTCATCTTGGTGGGAGGCCGGTGTGCTACAGGGGCTGTGGGTTCGAGTCGGACATTCTGTGTGCGCTTAGGTCGCGTCCGAATTCTCGCTCCGTCTTTGAGCGATGATACGTGACGACGGAACTACTTCACGTCTTCTGTTTCACAAAAACCGATTCGCCCTCTTTTAAGCTTCTGCACATTCTCTTCTCGTTTGCGTCGGATTCCAGTAACCAGTATATTTCCTGCTACACTTCAGCGTAACATACTGTTTACTACTTAGGCCGTGTCTCAATTGACCCAGAAAGCGCTCTCTCTCTCTCTCTCTCTCTCTCTCTCTCTCTCTCTCTCTCTCTCTCTCTTGACGACGTCAGAGAGAATGCTCTCTGGTCGTCTGAATTCGTCGGAGAGAGCATGAAAAAGAGAGAGCACACAGAGAGCTACAAGTTGTACACTCGCTGGCGCTCTCTCGCAGGCACCAGATTTATTTACATTATTTCCGTGTTTGAATAAGGTTAGTAGCTTTCTGGGCCAAAACCACGTTGCATTCTAGCTGTAAGTGAATAATTTCAACTGTTTTAAACAGCGAAATGGCATCAGATGTTTGCCTGGCGTCGGGGAGAAATGAGAGTGTGGTTGTCTCAATTCCCAGAGCGAGAGCACGAGAGAGCACGAAGCAATGCGAAAGAGTGCGAAAGAATGCTCTCTAGAGAGAGTTTTCTTTAAATTGAGACACGGCCTTAGAATAGTGGCAAGCAAGTTGCAGTGATTGATATTATTACTATAGGCTGTTCACGGTAAACTGGGCACTTTTGAATCCCTGCTCATGATTTGTGAGTGTGAAGATAGATTAGATTGTATTATATTGTGTGTAAGGGGAGCAGTGTTATATTTTTGTGGAGAGAATAAGTTGGGACAGAGAGCGAAAGAAAGAGATGAAGAAAGAGAAAAATTTATTTCATTTCCACTGGAACTCAAAAGAAATACATTATTTATTACCATTCGTTTTGTGTAGCTTAATGGAACTGTTACCTCGGCTAGCTATACTCAGAAAAAAAAAACATTTTTTTTAACCCTGATCACAGGAAATTACATCGTAGAAAGTTTTGTCAAAAAGGTAACAAACAAAAAACCTTCTGGTTCGAATGATTTCCGTTTTCTTAATCAACGAGTGTTGCCACCCAAAAAATCTCCACTGGTATACATATTTAATAACTAAAAAATGTTATCTTTCCAGATAGGCTTAAATGGGCAAAATTCCGACAGATATTTATAAAGAGGTGATAAAAGTTATGTGAACAGCTACAGACCTGTGGCTTTTCTATCACGATTCTCAAAAATCCTAGAAATGATTATTTCCAACAAACTATAGCAATTTTTAGAAAAAATTACCGTACTAACAAAAAATCAATATGGCTTCATGAAAGGCATATCAACAGAACAAGCAACTTACAGCATTATTGATAAAATAGTAAGTGCTTTAGACAAAAAGAAACAAGCTATTGTCATATTTGCGGATCTAACAAAGTCATTTGTTTGTGTGGACCACAGCATACTTCTAAAGAAACTAAAAAAAATACGCAGTTTGGGGTATACCACTAGAAATTCTACAATCATACTAACAAAATACAAAACATGTGACAGCCTTACGTTTTTGTGGCCACCGGGATAAAATAATATCATATCCACTCCCTATCACAGTACTGGTCACTCAGGTCTCAATAATGGATGCACTCTTATTTATATTATTTCAATGATTTTCCACTATCAATAAAAGAGGGCGAAGTGATATAGTTTTCAGATGATAGGAATATTCTAATATTAGGAACAAACAAACCAAGCCTAATAAACAACATTACTGAAACACTTCTTGAAATCGAAAACAGGTTTCATAACAAATTAATACTCTAAATTGAAAAATCCTCTATAATTTAATTTATTCTATCAGGAGCGAAAAGCAAAATTAGTGCAGAGGGCATAATAGCTATTCGCAACAAAATATAGTAAAAAAAAAAAAGAAAAGGTAAAGTTTTAGGATTACAAATTTATGGAAATCTAACCTGATAATCACATAAGAGAAATATATAAGAAAATTAGTTTAATGTGCTACAATATGCATGCACTAAAACTGATATGTTATCTAGAGGTAACTCTGACTTCATATTTCTCAAACACGCAATCCACCCTGGAGCATAAATAAATTGTCATCGCAAGCCCCTATTTAAAGAGCTAAAAATTCTAACATTACCTTGCTTATACAAATACCACATAGTGCTTTATGATAAACAAAACACCACATTGAATTCAACAGAAATATCCACAGGAACAATGCAAAATGCCCGAATGATTTACACGTTATTTCATAAAACTGAAAAATTTGCTGGAAGTCCTCGCTATAAACGAAACCAGCTAAAAAAACCAATGCCAATGGCTATTTAAAAAACTGAAAAGCTTCAGAATTTAAAAAAAATTGAAATATTGTTTATTAATAAACTATGGGTTAGTCCGTGACATTTGTTTTGTATTGTCACGGGGCTAGAACAGTTACCATGTTAAAAAATTTGTTTATCATACAGAGACTGAAAAAAATATTACATAGAAATATATAGGTAATAATGAAATTATGTGAAATTAACATAACATTGAAGCGACTGCGGTCACATTTGATATTTCTCTATACACTTAGCCACTGAGGCCCCACTTAATATAGTTCTATCAACTGAGCCACTAAGTCCCCACTTGGAATCGCTCTATCCACTGAGCTACTAAGGCCCCACCTGATATATATCTATACACTTGGCCACTGCGGCCCCACTTGGAATCTCTATATCCACTGAGCTACTAAGGCCCCACTTGGAATCGCTCTATCCACTTAGCCACTGCGGCCCCAACTATAATTTCTCTACCCACTGAGCTACTAAGACCCCATTTGATATATATCTATCCAGTTGGCCACTCTGGCCCACTTAATATAGTTTTATCCACTAAGCCACTGCGGCCCCACTTAAGATAGTTCTATCCACTGAGCCTCTAAGGACCCACTTGGAATCTCTCTATCCACTGAGCTACTAAGGCCCCATTTGATATATATCTATCCACTTGGCCACTGTGGCCCCACTTGATATAGTTCTATCCACTAAGCTACTGCAGCCCTACTTAACATAGTTCTATCCGGTGAGCTACTAAGGCCCCTCTTGGAATCTCTCTATCCACTGTGCCACTGTGACCCCACTTGGAATCTCTCTATCCTCTGAGCCAATAAGGCCCCACTTGGAAATTAACTCAACATTGAAGCGAGACATTTAAAGTAAACGAAAACTATATTCCATTACCTTCATATCTCTATGCAATATTCTCTATGAATTAATACAAATCTTTCATAGGAAAAAATAATAAAAAAAATAGTTTTTAGGGTAAAAGGTAATGATTGCGTAATCTGATCTTGCTGAAATTCTAAATTGATCTGTATTTGACCCTGAGGATTCGCTCTGCGAAATCTGAAGAACTTCTGTTGAGTTTCAAGGGGCACAGACGGACGGACAGACAAACAGAGATCGTCTACTTATAGGATTCCTTTTATTCCGTGAAATAATCCTGTTATATAACAGCCCGATCTCTGTCTGTTTGTCCATCTTTAATACATCTAAGTCTAACTCTAAAAACTAATTTTTAAATTACTTTTTTCCTATGACAGTTTTATATTAATGCATAGAGATTATTGCATAGAGATATGAAGGTAATGGAATGTCATTTTTGCTTACTTTAAATGTCTCGCTTCA